TTCATTCACAGGATTGGTCTACTTCGACTCGAACGAGCGGACTAGATCGGATGGAGAGGAGTATTTAAACTCCTATTCGCATGGAACCATAACCCTAGCCGACAGAGGGGTGATTGGAGAAAAAGAAGAAATGCTGTTGGGGAAAGAACCAGATACCGGAGAAGGAGGTCGGCCACCGTCGTCGCCTCACTAGAGTCATCACTAACACCAAAATAGGTATTTTTTTCCCTTCCGCTCGAAATTCAATCTCGAGTCTTATGCCCATATCGGAGCCAAAGAGTTGACGGGTGCCAGAAACCGTGGGCAAAGGTCGGCTGAGCCACTGTAGTCAAAATCCGAAACCCTCTCCAATGACCCCTTTCCCATTTCCCATTTCGCGCGATGTTTTGACTATCATGTTCTCCATCATTTTCTGGTGCAGGTTAGTCGAAGGGAAACTTCAGCCGCGAATGAGGACTAGCGAAGCTGTCGCACCCGTAGACCTTCTGCCAGTATGGTTTCAATTTTTTTGTCTTTTTCAGCCAACCAAGGCCTTCTAACTTGGTTTTTCATAGGTTTACGTGTAAAATTAACCAAAACTGGTCTAAACCGATTGAAACTGGCGAGGCCGAGACAAATCACCGTTGTGGGCGCTGCAGCACGGCAGCACCACTGTGTTGGAATCATAAAATTGGCTGAAAAAGTTTTTCAACGTCTATTTTGGCCTTTTGGGATATTTTTTGATACGTGACATGTGTTTTAATTTCTATAAGAAAAAATCAAAAAATTCGGGACTGCTAGGAGGCCTAGTGAAAAATATAGTATTTCAAACATCGATCCGATGTAAGAATCACTCATCTTTTTTCTTGTTACGCTAAATTAAAGCTTAATAATCAATAATACTGTATTTTGTAAAAATTAAAAAACTCTAAAATTAATTATAGGTCACTAGTGGAGTTAGAACCGGTCAGTGCATATTCATCCTAATTTACTGTTTCTTTTCTCCTATACGGCCTAAAATGCTTACTATTATGTAATGTGCATTAAATTACTAGTTTTTATTGCTTTCTTAGTTATTTAGTTTATCTAACTACATAAGTTTAATTGTTTGTTCGTTTGCAATAAGTGTCAATTATATTGTCTTGATTTATGTATTGTCTCTTTACAAACTTATTGTTGATTGGAAAATATGAGATATTGATATAAAATTGGAAAGTGGCTAATAATGTGAATATATGTATGAACGCTTACTAGTACCATGGGAAAGGGTAGACAAACCTGTTACATAGGCAAAATCCTACTGCGAATGTTATCTCAGTCGGATGGGGCTGGAAAGTCCAATACTGAAAATATTTGAGAAATATGGTTCACCCTCATATTGGACGGGGTGTCGAGACGATAGTATGTTTAATACTTATTATCGGACAGAATATGAGAATGACCGGTTGATGAACAAATTTGGATATTCGATTCACGCATATGAGGGATATCCCTATGGACTCCCAGAGTTACAAGTAACCAGGTAAAAAGGAAAGACGTTATTCTTACTCACTTGTATATGAAATCATAATATTATTTGAGTTATTATATTTATAATTCGATTTTAGAAACACGTAACGGTAAGTATGGAATAAACGATTTTATGTTAAATAAATTTATTTAATAAAATAAATGGCTCAATTAGTTATTTTATAATTTTTATCAACCTTCAGTTTTCCGTGTTAGTGATTAGTGTAATATTCTTACTGAATTAGTGTATTTCATCCCCCTATTTAACTATTTCTGATCAAAAAGACCAAGATTCAGATCATAAACAGTAGGAAAGTTGCGATTAAATGTTACTTTTTGGACCCCATCAAAGTTTCCAGCGGAGGTTAACTCCATAGGATTTTAGTTTCATTTTTATTTCTGTTATTTTAACTCTTTTTATGGACATTTTCGTAACCCTATCGGACATCCCAAATTACTGTGTAATTAATGTAAACTTTAATTATTATTTATTTCTGTTATTTTAATATATATTCATTTTCTTAAGTTTTCAGACTTTTACAATTATCAATATATCAATACACGTCAACATATTTTAAGTAATATATTTAATTATTTATATGAGATAAAGATATATTCAAATCCATAAGTACTATATACTATAACATAATAATATAAAATTTTAAAATATTTAATAATTTATTAATTTATCAGATTCTTATTTATTTGTAGGAGTGAAACAAATATAAATTCATACTATATATTATATATAATCATAGCATATTTAGTTTTTTTATTCTTTTATACTAATCAATCGCATTATAATCATGTCATGTAAAAATATATGATGGCATGGGAATTTGGCACCAACGATGCTACCAGCCATGCACATATACTTATAATCATGAAAAATTAATGAGAACCTTATTATTATTATTATTTTTCTTTATAAAAATACAAGAGCGTATAGATATGATAGGATTCAACAACTTGTAATTTAATTATATTACAAAAAGTAATTTTAATTATATATATATATATATATATATATATATATAACACTTGCATATCATGGCAGCATGTATGGTGTCATTTTATTTCGGTCGGCTTTAATTTTTGCATGACTTAATACCATGCTACATGTGGTTGTTAGACTTATTTATTTTGACTAGCAGAATGTGAGCTTTGATTTTCATGCAATAATTTTTTAAATATTAATTATATTTTAAATTAAAAATTAAATTAAACTCTTTTTTTTTTTTGAAAAAAAAAAGAAACGACAAATTATTAATCAAACTTTATTACAAGATATCCACTGCGTGCCTTTTTGAAAAACAAAAATAATAACACCGTGTTTATGGGGGCCCCACTGATTCTTGCCACGTGGCAATTTATCTTCGTCGGTCAACCAAATTTTTTAGCGTAATCATAATAAAGTTTTTATTTGTCGTGCATCTTAATTTTTAAATACTTATTTTATTTTATTGCTGTTAAAAAAAATATTTTGATACATAAACATGAACAATTAATTTAAAAAATTAAATTCAAAATAAAAATGAAAAATTCCATTAAAAAATTAAATATAATGTGAGCAATTTATATTTTATTTTGTACTAATTAAAAGTACTAATTATGCATGAGCTTCAAGTATAAACTTTGTTAAAAAGAAAATTAAGATGCTTAACCACTTTGTAAATGGTTGATTAGCAACTACTTCTTCCTTTCTTCCATGTTACACTCTTTCTTTAAATTGCTTTTTCCCTTTTTTTTTTTTAAATTATACAAATCGATTAAGTTTTTTTTTTTAAAAAATTAATAGTCATTTGGATAATTAGAATTAATTAATTAATTAATTAAACAAAACACAATTTAATATTTTTGTTTTATTGCAAAAAGTTTATTATTTTTTATTCTATAACAATACTATACTAAATTAAAATTTTTAGGTCCTCAAACTTTATACTAAGATTAGTCCAAATTATATTTGATCCGATCCATTCGAATTCTTTAGATTTTGTAGATATGTAATACCCAAATTTTATTATTTTTATTTTTTAATTTATTTTAATTTATATTAGAATTTTAATTTAATTTTTTATATTTAATTTATAAAGTTTTAATTTATTTAATTTATAATATAAATATATATGATAAATTGGGTAAATATTTTGGATT